CTTTCCATATATTTCAATTATCTAGAACTTTTTTAACAATAAAGCTACATGGCCAGATTCTGGCCAGCCAGAAAATGGCAATATTGTAATATTGGAAAAAGTCACAAAGTTTAATTACTATTATGCCCCTACACTATTAATATTAAACTTAAATATATATATTTTTCTTTCTCACCTTCAATTTCCAGACCCGGGTCAATCCAGGATGGATGCTTTTTGGTCTTCCAAGGACCCACAGAACTTTTAATGCTGAGATTTAGCCTAAAAATGATTCGGATGAGAATCGAACTTGGGTGGCCAGCATGTTTAGAGCAACAACAAACCATTAGACTGATTACATAATCACAATATAGTTATATATAAATATATATAATACAACTATAGTGTACAATGATTATAATTGTCATATAAACAATGTTAAATAAATTATTAATTTTCGTATTCATTATTATTCAATAATTTTAATTAATATTAGGAAATTTAATATATTAAATTTAAAAAATGTAAAGAAGTGCGGTTCAACCCGCCCAAATATCTGTCATTACTTATTGTATTCGATATTATTAATATATATAAATGTATGACTTAATACTTAGTTTAATCAAATATTAAGATTTTGAGTGATTATGCTCAAGTCCTTTTAATTCTTAAATTTTATTCATAATTATGAATCGATTGACATCAATTATTGACAAGAATGTATTGAAATTGTTGATTATTTTATATAGAAAAATCATTAAAAATAATTTATTTATGAGAAAAATGTACATGATTTTATTTTAATAAAAATAGATTATAACTCATTCCAATTATTGACAAGAACATATTAATATTATTGATTATTTTATTATAGGAAAGTTATTGGCAAGAACATAGTTATAAAAAAAAATATAGATTATGTTTATTTTAACAAAAAAACAGATTATAACTCGTTTCAATGAATATTTCGATTTTTAAAGAAAACTATAGATGATGAGTAAAATAAAAATATTATATTGTCATTTTCTTTTAATACTTGGTTTATTAGTTTTTTAAGGGAGATATTAATCAAATTTACTATTTATAATTAAAGTATAATATATTTTAATTGAATTTTATCATAAAAATAATATTAATATAATTCCTTAAAATCGTGAGAATAAATCTCTTAATCGTAAGATTTGAATTGGTTAAGATCAAGTTCTTTCAATTCGTAAGCTTTATTCAAAGATTTGAATTGATAAAGCTCAACTATTGATAAAGCTTTTTTAATTGAATTTTATTATATAAAATAATAAAATTTAATCATTGTTTGACATGTCGTTTTATTCAAAAAAAATTATTTTTTTTTATTATATTTCATTTTTCAATAATTTAATTAACATTATTTAATAATAATGAATGTACTAATTAATAATCTATTTATTACTTATTATAATCGTTTTACACTTTCAGATGTATTTATATATATTTCTTGCTAGATATTTGTGCAAGTTGGTCTATTTCTCAGTGGTTAGGTGTGAACTTGATGTTTTAGCAACCCGAGTTCAATTGTCAACCGCAGCATATTTTTCGGATTAAAACTCCAGGTTGGCCCTAGACCCGGTCCGAACCCGTCATGACCCGAACCCGGCACTAAATTTGTAACCACACCCTTATAACTTATAAGGGGTAAAAACGGTATTACATAAAAAATTAATCTGGCCATTTAGCATGATCCCTTTTATAATTAGTTTACAAACAATGTTAAATATAACTTGGGACTTGTTTTCTTCTTTTTTTGGAAGGTCCTTGACAAAAAAAAAATATTACAGTAACCAAATTGATATTTTAAAAATTATTTCTCAACATTAAAACGGGTTTACGTTATAGAATTACAAAACAATAACTTTAAACATGAAAACAAATTATTTAACCATTGATATTGGCGGCGGATATATGCAAGCCCATTTTTTTATTAGTTCAAGACCTCCAAAATAAAAATACTAATTTACCCTTAATGAAATTCAAAACCAAATAAAAAATATAAATCAACAACAACAACAACAAAAAAAACAAATCGGCGTTACAACGCCGATTTTGACTTGTAAAGTCGGCGCTGTGTCGCCGATTTGGTTAACAAAAATCGGCATTGTAACGCCGATTTTCGTGTGCAAAATCAGTCTGGATAAACCGATTTGGGAAACCAACGAAAACACAGAAAAAAATCAATTTCAATCTCAATTTTTTTTCTAAAATCGGCTAAAGTATTGCAACCCAACAAGAAGTAAGCATAGATTAATGTTCATCCACGCATATTTATCAAGATTCGATGCTCGATTAATGTTTTAGAATTGACAAACAACAATTTAGTAAAAGGGACTTGTTGGTGGTGGTGGGGTGGTGGTGATGTGCGGTGGAGGTGGTGCGGTGGGTGGGTCGCTGGTCGTCGCCGGCGCGGTGGATGTCTCGCTGGTCGGTGTCTCGGCGGTGTGGCGTCAATTGTGAGTTTTTCTATTTTTTTCTCTATTTTTTTTTGTTTTTTTTTTTAATTTTTTGGTCTTGAACAAATGAAAATTAGAGTTTGTTTGTATTTGGGTATTATTTATTGATAAGTGGTATATTCGTCATGCTTGGTCTTGATGTAATAAAATTAAATTAATTTATGGGTTTGAACTAATAAACTCCTTTATGTAGGTTTGAACTAATAAAAAAATGGGCTTGAATATATCCGCCGCCTTGGAATTTTACGATTTATCTGCTAGTTGAGTACCCTAATTATGTGAGCAGGTTTTTGAAAGGTCGGTACTCATATTTTTTATTCGACTAAAATTTTATATGTTAAAAGTGTGAGAGAGAACAAATTTAGAGAGCTCACTTGAACACTCATTTAATGATCTAATTACTTAGAAAGTGAACTCTCATCTTCGGAGCACGCTTAATAAATGAGATCTAATAGTTTTAAATGATCAACCAACAAGTTAACAACTACAAGTCATGCCAGTTAATAAAGTGTGTTGAAGACATTATATTCATTTATTAACCCTCTGTTATACCGAATTCGTAAAATCTACTTGTGTTGTAAATATAAGAAATCAGAACTCTTCTTATCCATTTTTAGCACACAACCTCATGAATAGTATGTTTTAAGGAGTATATTGCTTATAAAATTGAATGACAGAGGTTTTTTGATAATATTTATAACACGGGGATTTTTTTAACAATTAGAGTAAACACATGGGTGATAAATGCAATAAGCCCCAAAACAATATAAGATATAAGCTAATTAAATATTCAAAATAGACATATTACTACCAAAATTTTCAGTGTTTGTTTTTTATAACATCATTCAATTCGTTGTGTCACTTGCATATCGTTTATGAAAGTATCTTCGATCTTATCATATTTTTTTCATAAAAAAATATTACGAAAACATGCTGAATCAAGTGTAGTTTCATTTTACGTATTATGAAAAAGTTTCATATAATTTCTTTATTATTAAAGATGTTTATTTAATCTACGCATTTCGATAAAAGAAAAGTTATAAATTTATATCAATTAAAACAATACTAAATAAAAACATTCTGCGTGTTTGAGGTGCAAATCATGAAACTAAATCAAGCCACTAAAAATATTTAAAGCATTATTAAAAAAAATCATTTTCTGATGATTCATAGATCCTAGTCGAATTTGATTTCTCCAATAAATCGAATACAAAGTTTCCAACCTTTTATATTTTGTCTAAGTGTTAAGTAAAAGAATAAAACAAACCAAAAAAATATAGAGAGATCGAGAGAGAGCAGTAAAGTGCTAATATATTAACTGGATGTATTGATTGCAATATAAAAAATATTTTTACTTATAACCACAAGTACTACGTACATATCTAATAATTTACTAAAAAGGGTAGAATAGACATCACAAAAAAGTTAAGAAACAACATTCATACTTTTAAAGGTAGGGAGATAATTACGAATATTAGGTTATGGCTCCACGAAGGAGATAACAAAGCCGGGGAGGATACCCAAGTTTGGGCGCCTGTTGTGCTCGGTGTGCGCTCAAGTTGGGTAGACGCATGCCGTAAAAATGACGAATTTCGGGTTTAAGAAAATTATAACTTTTACCTTTGAAAAGGATACTCATCCGATCGTATTGAACTCATTTTGTATGATTATTACTACAAAAACAATCTATTTTAAGTGAATTATAGAGAATAAAGTAGAGAGAAGCTAGAGAAAATACGGGTAGGAATTTTTTTCTTTTATATTTAATGTATGGTACCAGGGCTCAAAATAATATTTCGAGTAATATATTTTGATTAAGAACAGTGGTGGAGCCAGCATAGGCCCATCCCCACGAAACTTTATCAAATCTCTATTCTTTTATATAAAAATGTAAAAAAAAAAAAAAAAAGAAAAAATTGTATAAAAGCATAATCGCCCCCCCTCATAAAAAAATTAATGCATTTGGCCCCGTCATACTTAAAATCCTGGTTCCGCTAATGGATTAAGAGGAATCTCTGAGATTTCATTACAATGCTACCAAATCTGGGATATTAATTACACAGACCAAATAAATATTACAAGTTTAACTGTTTTACTATTTTCTGATTTTTTTTTTAATTAAATTAAATTATAAAATGCTTGGGATATAACCACATGCATAGTTTTGCTTAAACATTTGAAGCTGTTGTCCTGCTCAATTCTTCATCGGCTCGAATTAATGTAGAATGCTGAAACTTTTCTAAAGCATATATATATATATATATATATATATATATATATACACGTATCACAAATTACGATGACGGGGTAATACAGCTAAGACATGTTCCGTTCATCGTCTGGACTTGTCAGAGAGAGAAAATGAGGCTTACAGTTATGAAGAGAGGTCGATTTGCCGCACGAAGGAAGTTCAATACTGCAAATTACGGTGGATTCAACACCTTCACACACTGAGTCTTTAATATTTTCTCATATCGTACCAAGTATTGTGTGTACAAACTTTGTTAGTACCCATAGAGTCGATTGTACTCAATCGAATCAAGTAAAATCACCGTGTACTCAATCGAATCACGTAAAGAATTACATTGTTACAAGCACAATGATTTTATTATAAAAGCTTATAGCTCGACATTCCTTTTTCTTGTTACCGTAAAAAAACTTTAATCTAGTAACACGAAGTTTTCTTGTAGCCACACAACTATTCTTCCGTTTGTAATGTAACAAATTTACGCACAAAAATTAAACAAGGAAGCAATATAGTTTTTGCATGCATCTCTATAGTTTGAGTTTGCTAAAATCAACTCTTTTGACAGGATACGTATACGCCTCATAATTGATTTGCTGCCCCAACGAACTCAATTTTGTCAGCGCGGTGATCAGGTCAACCTGGATTTGTTAAACCAATCACTTTCAGAAAACAAACAAATAAAAAAACAGGTTTTTCGTAAAAAAAAAATAGATATAAGTTATAAATTAGTAATTAATAGTGACCTCATAATCAGTTTGCGATACTGTTTCACGGCTACGTTGGTACTTCTGAACCCATGGCAACACTTCCGGATCGGAGGCAAGTAATGCCTCAGTTGCAGATTGGTCCGGACCCAAGAATGCCGACATCACAGCTAGCTGCAAAACATCAAGATTGGATTACTTGTTTGGTTGATAAAATTAGCCATGATTAATAATTAAATAATTGGAATTTATTGAATGTTTGGCGCCCAGGATTGCGGAAAGAATGCTTCTACTAATCTTGGCTAATTGGGAGATTATTTATTGGACCTCCTATTGAAAAACAATATACAGTAGAACATCGATAAATTAATAACCTCGCTTAAATAATATTTTTTTCTGGTCCCGACTCGGTAAGAACGTGCTAAATTATTCACTTGTTAATTTAATATTTCGCTAAATTAATAGAATTTCCCTAGTCCCGACTGTGTTAATTTATAGAGGTTTAACTGTATTAGGATTTTGATATACGATTATTATGGATAATCCTAAATTAAGAACCAAATTGGATTTTTCTATAAGCTACCAAGTCCATGAAGATGGATGAATTTTTTTTTTTTTTTTTAGTCTTAATTCTTTTATACCTGACGGGGGCCAAAGCCGAGATTAGAAAATTTGTTCTTCATTTCAACGACAGTGGAATTATCCCATTGAGGGACCCTTCCTTCAGGATCGGGTTTTCCGGCATCCGACCTTCCAAACTGCCTATCAAACAGTCCCCACTGCCCACTCGAACCATATGCAGTGTACAGTATGGCCCCTTTTTGTTCATTCCCACCACATTTACGAATGGCTGACGCCAGGAACGTAGATTTAACTGCACTTTGAGCTGCATTGATAAACGAATCAAATTTAATCTTTTTTTTTTATTGCATTGATTTAAGGTTTTTTATTCAAGCTTCCTCGGCATGCAATTAACCTGCAAAGTGGATGAGATCGGCGTACGATATAGGTCCTCCTTTGGAGTACGAATCTATTTCCTTCTTCGTTTCCTCCAACAGATTTAAAGCAGCCGCGAGATTCTTATTTTCTGGTCGGCTAATCTCTGAGCTTCACGAAACAAACGTAATACAAGACAAAAACAAAATCAAATCAAACCCACGGAATTCAAAATGCGAAATGTAATTCAAGTTACCTAAACCGTATTGATCCATTTGGGCCTCCAGATTTTGTTGCCTGCAAACTTAATTAGTAACTGCATAAGTTTTTTATTTTTTGTTTCGTTTCGAAATATATTTAACGATATATAAATATGCAATACCACATCTGACCTTATCATAAGTTACGGCATCATTGAGTGCCAAAGTTAATACAGACGGCACGAGATCTTGATTCCCCTGCATAAAAATTATAACATTTAGTATGTATACTAAGAAAAATCGCAGACGTATATCAAATGAATTTCTTAGTTCTTGACACCAAACCTTCAGAACAGTAGCGAATGTCCCCTTCATTTGCGCTATTAAAAAAAAAATAAAAAATAAAAATAAACAAAAAGATGGATCAAAAATTTAGAAAGAAAAGAAACAAGGGTATTCGTAAAGCTTACACAGAAACTCCGAACGTTGCTTCCGTTCTATCAAATCAGCAGCATTAGCCACTTCAACGAATGAGGTGGACCTTGCTATCAAGTCCTGTGAACGGTCAACGGTCAACCGACAAACTCATCATCATATATCACTTGTATTTGTTCATCTCAATTCTCAATAAATATTCAACTATATACTTCTGAATTCCATTTCGTTTTATGTATGTGAGCTAATGATATTCTGAAAGAAATGAGATGGCAAATGCTGCGACCTTTTTCGAGTCTGCATAGCAGGAATATAACGAACACCGGCAGAGGTGTACCAAAACACCTATTTATTTTAGCATTTTAACAAAAGTTGTTTCGTTCCGGCCGAAAAATTAAATTAAACCCACAAAACGACTGATCTTTTTGCTTGGTTGAATTAAACCCCTAAAATGGATTTTATGAGCACATACTAAGAGGCCTTGCTTGGCTGGGGAGATTAGCCATGATTAACTAAATAATTAGACTTTGTTTGATATTTGGTATCCCTAATAAATTGTCGGGTCGACCCACCAAAATTATATTATTATGGATTATCTTGCCTTCTAGGGAGCCTTTGTTGTTGGACATCGCGGAAGTCCCATAAAATAATTGGTTTCATTAGATTATTTAATTTTATCATGTCTAATCTTATCTTGGCAACCAAACGAGGTCTAAATATATATATATATATATATATATATATATATATATATATATATATATATATATATATATATATATATATATATATATATATATATATATATATATTAATGAGAAACATTAATCACAAAATTATCCAAAATAAAAAAAATTAGAAATAAAAAATGAAAGCAAAAGACTGACAATGCCGATGGTGGCTCCAATTCCGAATGATTGAAGAATGTGGCGCCGTGAGAAGCCATTCTCATGATCAGAATCAGCTCCGATTTTGCAATTTACTGTGCTCTGTGATTAATTACCATAAATAAATAAACAATGAAGTACCAAATCATTTGAAAGAGAAATGAAGAGAGAAGAGAGATTGACTCACAGAATTATGTCTAGGAAAATGTTTAGGGGCTGAGGTAGGTTGAACCAACGAAGGCACAGTTGACATGAATGAGACCGCTGCCATCTCTTTCTCTCTCCTTCTTTCTCTCTCCTCCGACTGACTGTGTGACTGTGTGTGAGAGAGGAATAGGGGGAAAATGAAAAAGAGAGGGAGAGGATATGTTGAGGAAGGAGGAGAAAAGGTTGTCTGTGATTTTTGCGTTATCTTCCTATCCTACGTGGGGCTACACATCACATTCTATTACTAGTTCTACTAAAATTGGATATTTTTAATTATTGGGTAATCATCCCTGAAGTATGGTCAAATTACAAAACACCCCTCCTATTTGGGTAACTACAACCACCTCCCTCAAATATAAATCTTCTTACACATCCACCTTTGCGGTTTCAAATTTAGTGCAATCTTTTAGATTATATGTAATATTCAAAATTCTGGACCCGTTTTATCCCATTCGAGCTCCATATTTTGAAGCTAGATGATCAGAAGATGTATTTTTTGGCTTGTATATATCAGATTGTGGTGCATCAAAACTGCATTTTTTGCACAAAACGAGCACAAACTAGAGAGCATTCCACCGAATCTAGATGATTATGTTGAATTTGACACCATAAGGGTGGAGGTGTAAGAAGATTCATAGTTGAGGGTAGATGTAATTATCCAAACAGATAGGGTTTTTTCATAATTTAACCATACCTTAGGAGTGGCAGTAATATACCCTTAATTATTTTGTTTTTAATAAATGGGAAAGTAGAGCAATCTTTTACAATGGTACTTTTTGGAGGTTGTGTTCGGTGGTAATGGTACATTCCAATATGAACAACCCTTTTTTTTTTTTTTTGAGGAATAACTGAAAATTTATTAGGCAATACGAGCCAAGTTCAAAGGCAGAACATTACCGCCAATACAACCAAGATCAGAAGTGGTAGCAATAGCGTGGGCAAGAAGATTTCCCGAACGCTTGACAAAAGAAAAATTGCATGAATTAAAAAAACTAGAAATACGTAAACATTCCTTAATGAGGGCTCCAAACGATGCTTCGGAGGAATTACGTTCCCGTAGTGCCGTCATAATTTGATTATCTCCTTCTAGAGTCACAGCCGATGAGCCAAGTTCATGCGCCTTTGAAATTGCATGAAGTGCCGCATGGGCTTCTCCTTCGACAACCTTGGGTCGTCCTTGAATTATTTTGGCATGCCACCAAAGGCATTTTCCTTGCCAATCACGAGCGACATTTGCCAGAACATAGTAATCTTTCTCCTTGGGAAATGCGACATCAAAGTTGATTTTAATCTCTCCGTGCTCCGGTGGTTTCCAGACGGCTGGGTGCATCTTCTCCTTGTTGTGAGTGACTCGGATTTGGGCTGCCTTATAAGTGTTCATGTAATTAAACACCAGCTTATTACTTCCGACGTTGGGCTCCCCTCCTCGTCATGTAACACTTTGTTCCAATTATCCCACAACTTCCACATGATAACAATTGCTAGGTGAAAAGTATTGGGATCTAAGCTTTGTTGCAGCTGCGTCATCCAAACCCAGGTGGACAGAGGTGGGTTACAAGCAACCCTACAAAACACAGATGAACGCCATATCTCTTGCGATTCGTGGCAGCATTTAATAATATGGAGAAAAGTCTCGGGCACATAACCGCATCGTCGACATAAAGGGTCTCCCACTATTTTCCTCCGATATAACTCCGCTCTCGTTGGTAAAATATTAGAGCAAGCTCTCCAAATAAAGATGCGAATCTTATGAGGGATAGGAAAATTCCACACAAGTTTCCAATTAATCGTAGTTACGCCGCTAGTCGATTCCCCAGTGGGGGGTCGCCCGCTAGTAATTGTTTGACATCTAGAGAGCAAAGTGTGATAGCATGAACGAACGGTAAACCTGCCATGGGTAGTATAATGCCATATCCATCTATCCTCAGTCGTCGAACCTCCGATCGGAACCGCTAATATTCTGTCTTTGTCGATTGGCCATAACCATTCTTCTAAAGCCGCAATATTCCATGAACCTGTATTGGCATCTATCATGTCTGAAACTGTGTTCGGAAAGGAGGAATAAATCGGCCTTTTTGTAAAAACTTGAAAAGCGCCATCATCGGAGTGTTGGGTTTCGGGCACGCATACGCAGCGGAAAACAAAAATATTACGTGATTTAAACGACTTTAAAACACACAATTACATGCCCGAAGAATTAAATCAATTAATTGCGTACCTTTGCGCTTCCAGCGAAATTAAAAACAACATACATGCTAATAAATTTAACCGAATTTAAATCAATTAACATGCTCGCAATTTAAACCAAATAACATGCTCGCAACGATTTAATCGATTACACATAATCACATAAAATCATACAAACACAAGCATGAAATCATAGTCTAAATTAAACCCTAAAACGAAACTAGGGTTTCGTGTATTTACCTCTTGACGCGTGAGGTAGGAGCGAACGATACGTCGTGATTACTACGGAAACCAATCCGTAGAATCGGGGCAGCAGCGGTGCGTGGGCAGCAGCGGCGCGTGAGGTCACGGCGGCGCGTGTAGCGTACGCGCGGCTTCGGGGCGGCGCGTGGGGCAACGTGCGGCTTCGGCTCGTGCGTTGCTCCTCGATTCTTCGATCTACAGTCTTCCTCCTCTCGGATTTCACCTCGTATACTTCGATCTACTAAATCGTGGCACTAGACACGAAATAGTTAGAATAAAACGGAAAGAAAATAAAGGAGAAAGAATACCGAACAAAAGCCGGCCAAGGAACGGCCGTTTCCGGCGACGGAGCGGCGACGGCGGTGCGGTGGTGGCCGCGCGGAAGAGAGAGCGAGAGAGAGAGGGTGGCCGCTTAGGGTTAGGGTTTTTTGTGTTTTTTTTTGTGCTAGGGCTATAAATCATGTATTTATAGTCCCTTGCATAAAACCCTAGCGGGCTTAAGTTGGACTGGGCCCAACAGCTTAAGCTCATTAGTTTCTTTACTCGCTCGTATCTCTCAATTCAATGATCGAAAAATTGTAACGATTACAATTTCCGAGTCATTATAATTTTCTCGTCATTACGAGTGCCATCTCTTATTTTCCAACTTTCCAAAAGTGGAAACCCTAGTTCAGTGGACTTTCTAAATTTGGAAACTTCCCGATTTAGAAAGTTCACTAACACGTTCGCTTATTCTTTTCATTTTCTTATTCTCATTCATAATTCCAAATTACGAATGTTGGACTCAATCATATTGACTTCCAATTATGCAAAGATAAACTATTTTATCTCTGACCGTTTATTCAAAGATCTCATGTGCACGAGCAGTGTGACCCTCGATGGTTCAGGTGTAAGCTAGCCGTGGGCCCACAACTCTTTGTGGTCAAAACTCGTCCCCTTCGAGTTACGATTAAGATGAAGCTCGTTTCACCTTAATCACCCAACGAATCAAGATTGGCGTCTAGCAACTACGCGTCATGATTCCCTAGATACAAATGAAGTGCCTGCAAGAACCTTCAGATATAGTTAACGTACAGTACGGTCCCTTCGATTCATATGTCCCGATTGAACTAGAGGCATTGGTTCATCGAGACCTCTTTATATGTTCAACAACGGTGCGATCGTTCTAAGTGTTGTAATCCTTTCGTGCATGACTTAGAGAATCGAATTCTCTAATCATCACTTAGTCAGCTCTGGCCAGAGACTTAGATTGATTACAACCTTTCAGAACACACAGGACATCCAAGACTATTCCAGCGATCGAATCCCCGACTACAACGCACAGACCTCCCACTAGATTTCGGACTGCACGAACACTGGCCCTTGGGATGGTCCTCGGTGGAACTCAGGGACAGGTCACGATACAGCTGGTCCTCTAGTGAAGTCACGGTGATGTCTAGGTCATAAGGACTAATTGTGTGCAACTATACCATAGATATCTCTACTCGATTATTGGGAACCACTTAGAGATTTCTAGGGTGAGGGAGTTCAGTGAACTCGTCAACTTACGAGCACCCACTTATGCATGCCGATATCACAATACCGTTTACTGATGAGATGCAGTACACATACATTAAGTGCTAGTCTTAATGGGAAAGGCCGATATCCTCATTAGTGGCGTAACCCTTCGACTAGGAACAGGTTTAACAGTTATAATACTTAAGTAAATATCTCACGATCCTAACGATCAATTACTAGTACTTGTAATAACTGTAAGGACTATATCTATGCTTGTGACAAAGGGACAAAGATATAGAATGCCAATGTGTTTTATCATTAATACGAATAAAGGTTCGTTTATTACAATAATAAATACGAAAGACCACAGCCACAAGTTGGCTTGTTGGTCACCTACTCTAACAATCTCCCACTTGACCTAAAGCCAACTACCCATGAATCGTAATCCCATCGACTCTCGATGTTTCTCATGGACCGATCTCGGTAAAGGCTTCGTGAAGGGGTCTACAACGTTCTCTTCCGAGGTGACTCGTTCAACCTTGACTTCACCTCTATCAATGATCTCTCGGATCACGTGATACTTCCTCAGAATATGCTTCGACTTCTGATGAGATCGTGGCTCCTTAGCTTGCGCCACGGCTCCGGTGTTATCACAGTACAACGGTACTGGATCACTAGCATCAGGAATAACACCCAACTCTTGGATGAATTTCCTTATCCAAGTCCCTTCTTTTGCAGCTTCGGACGCTGCAATGTATTCTGCTTCGGTAGTGGAATCGGCCGTCGTGCTTTGCTTGGAACTCTTCCAACACACGGCACCACCATTAAGCGTGAATATAAATCCAGAATTCGACTTCGAGTCGTCCACGTCCGATTGAAAACTAGAGTCAGTGAAACCCTCTAATTTCAACTCGGCACCCCCATAGACCAAAAATATATCCTTAGTTCTTCGCAAGTACTTGAGGATATCTTTCACGGCTTTCCAGTGAGCCGGGCCGGGGTTAGACTGATATCTGCTTGTGACACTCACAGCATACGCAATATCGGGTCTCGTACACAGCATGCCATACATTATGCTTCCTATTGCAGAAGCATAAGGCGTCCTTTTCATCTCCTCGATTTCACTAGGTGTTTGGGGACACATAGATTTCGAGAGACGAACCCCATGGGACATTGGCAAGAATCCCTTTTTGGATTCTTCCATGCTAAACCGTTTCATAACGGCGTCTATGTACAGGCTTTGGGATAACCCAAGCATCTTTCTCGCTCTATCTCTATAGATGCGTATTCCTA